GACCTTGGGCAAGCCATAGTTCTGTCAGAGATGTTCTCTCAAGGGCATTTCTGGAAAGAGCTCTCTCTGCCCCACCTACAGGGTGTCTGTTGTGGGGAGGGGGAGGGAAAGGAGGGGAAAGGAGGGGAAGGGAGGGGAAGGGAAAGGAGCTCTGAAACTCCAAGTGAAGGGCAGGGTATAAATCCAATCATCATCATCTCTCCTCCTCCTCAGTGGGCAGCAGCGCGCGGGGGGGGGGGTCTTTTGCCTAGCAAATCTTCTGATTGGCCACGGGAGATTTGTTTGGCTGTGCAGATTTAAAGCAGCTGCCACCACAGCAAAAGGATCTTCATTGTGTGACTGAAGGTAAACTCCGAATCCTAAGGCAACCATCATGTGGCAGCCATTTTGTGGCTGCACCCACCACACTATTTCAGACTTCCAAAAGTGCTCACAGACTCAAAAAGGCTGGGGGCCCCTGCTTCAAACAAAGGCAGTTCACACATGTGGTCTTTTGGGCAGACAACCTACTGGAGTATTGTGTGACTCCGCAAGGTGGTCAGCTGGCTTAAAGAGGACTAGTCATCTTATCATGGGGCCAGAACTTCAAGATAAATAGCTCTTTATTCTACTAAAGACACCAGCCTGGTCTGTTTTAAAAGAGCAATTACACCACAAACAGGTAACCGTGGGCACTTATGCAACTGCCATTCAGTCTGGTTGTGCTTATAGAAAAGAATTTCCCACCGGACTGCAATTATATTTTACAAGAGGCGGGACCCGCGATACTGGGGGGGGGGAGTATTCCCCACAGCTCCCGGCCTGGCCAGCCTGCCAAGCTTTCCCTTCCCGTGCTGTGGCAGCGGCGGTGGCTGAGTGGCTCACAGCCCTGGCGGAGAGGCCTCGCTGCTTTCTCCCCCCCCTCGCCCCCAGCGGCAGCGAGGCCGGAGCTCGGCCACCAAACTTTCTCCCTCCCCCCCCCAGTGGTGGCGGAAGCGGCAGCGAGGGATGTGCAGCTTACAGCCGCTGGCCGGCCAAGCCTCCCCCTCCCCTTCTCTAGCAGCGGCGAAGCCATTCTAAGAGCATTCCCTGCGCATGCACAGGGGGCATTCTGTTACTTTTTTGGGGATTTAAACATCCCCCTATATTTTTTTTACAGTTTTCAGATTTTTCTGCACACCTGGGCATTGTCCCAGGTGCACAGTAAAGTCTCCATGCCCCCCAAGTGCCCCTGATGTGCGGATTTATCCGCACACAGGGGGCCGACTTCGGTATTAGTATATAGATTAAAATTTAAAACATTTCCTTCAATATTTGTAACTATGTTCCCCACCTGAACACGTCAGATCACTGGCCTATCTAGGTCACTATGCTCTATTTACGTATTTATTTAATAAATGAATATGTTACCTCTACAGAGACCTGCCAGAGACAGTTCACAACAAAAACAAACAAACATTAACAACAAAGCCTACTCTTCGTTTGCTGAATGGCAAACCACCTCTCCAGGGTCTCTGGTCAAAAGCACTGACATTCTTTTAACTGGAGATGCATGGAATTGAACCTGGGACCTTCTGCATGCAAAGCAGACATTCTACCACTGAGCTACAGTCCCTACCATGCTTGAAAATCCCCTCTTCACAAAGAACATCTTGGAGGTTTGCAATCCTTTCTGCTATAAGCTTTCCTATTTGGACAATGGGTAGGATCCAGCGCAAAAGTTCCACTTGCGCCAGAGCTCTCGCACAAGCAGAAGAGCAAGGAAAAGAATGTGGTGGCCACTTGCACCAAGTTATTGTATCCCCCACTTGCATTTCTGCATGCATGTGATCTTGTGCAACCAATGTCTCAGCACTATACCGGAAGGATGAACATGCTAGGTGTTACACAAGATCTCCCGCAAGCAGGTACAGCATTAAGTCCATTTATGTTTCCACTTGCATCACTGGATCGAAGTCTATACTTTGCTCCTCTGAAAGCCTGCAGGAGTGAATTTCATACCTCCCTCTGGAAGAAAAACAACAACAACAGACCTACCTGGTCCCAAGGACAGATGATTCCTCCAAACCACATGAAGAGGTACCCCATGGCAACCAGACACACCCAGACTACTAAGGAGAAAACACGAAGAAGCTTCTTGAACAGGGGCTCTATGCAGGCAAGGATAAATATGGCTGAGAAGATTGCCAGAGCTGTTGGAACAGTTATTAAGAATGCCACGTGATCCTCGGTTTCCTGAAAACAAAAAGACAGGAAAACTTATAATTTAACTGGTACAAACAGAGAAAGCAACACCTGGCTTCATTAGGATGCATCAAGAAATACTCGATCAGTGGACTGATTGTACATCAGTTGCCTATTTGTGTAAGAAATTTACATGACTTGAAATTATATTTAAGAACATTAATTATGCTCAGTTTAACTATTCTCAGTTTAAATCACAGGATGGATTGGTTTATAGCAAGGTGATTGAAAATCACCAAGATGAAAACCTTATTTAAATAATCAGCTTTACCCATTTTTAAATAATATATTTCAAGAAAAAGCTCAGATGCTAAAACAATGAAAACACAATTAATTTGAAATTAAGTATAGCCTTTGTAGAAGAAGAGGAGGAGGAGGAGGAGGAGGAGATTGGATTTATACCCCGCCCTTCACTTGAATTCTCAGAGCAACTTAGAAACTCCTTTCCCTTTCCCTTCCCCTTCCCACAACAGACACCCTGTGAGGTAGGCAGGGCTGAGAGAGCTCTTTCCAGAACTGTCCTTGAGAGAACAGCTCTGACAGAACTATAGCTTGCCCAAGGTCATCTAGCAGGTACAAGTGGAGGAGTGGGGAATCAAATCCGGTTCTCCCAGATTAGAGTCTGCACACTTAACCACTATACCAAACTGTCTACTACTACACCAAACTACTACTAAGCTGCAGAGTCACAAGCTACTATTCACAGGCCTTTTGCATTACCAAATGGTATCTGCTTGGAGGCAAAGGAGCAATTATAAAATTAATTTCTATTTGGCTCTCTGTGTGTATGTACAAGGATATGAAGCAAAATCCTAACACTGGTCTGTAAACTGCTTAGGGATGGCTACTAAACCCCATGCCAGCATAACATGAGTGTAGATATGCAGTAAAAGGGAGTGTGGTAAGAAATTTTAGAAATATAGAAGGTTTGGGTTTAAAAAATGAACCCCATGTGTCTATCTCTGTCATTGCTAGCAAAACAGCAGACAGCCATGGCCTGTTTCACTAAACCAGGCCATGATACTTTGCAAGCCCTTTGTTCTAGGCAAAGCATTCCTCTCAGACACTAACTCAAAAGTTCACAACATTCCATTCCCAGGATCTGAATCAATGTACATGTCCATAGGTGTGAGACCCACAATTTCCTAGGCAAATAAAACTGCAGCTGGCTAGGAAGGCCATTTGAGGAGTGACAGGCTTCAATCCAAAAACAAACTAACTTCCTGAGATACTGGGATTTCACACTCCCCACTTCCATCTCAGAGATAACATCAAAGGACAGTTTATTTCCCATATTGGGGAACACCTGGAAGAAACAACGACACTGTATTGATCCTGTAAATTGTGTACACTTTTGTTGTGTGAGACCAAGGAAGCAATTTCCTGCAAGACAATTTCAACTTCTAAATGTTAATTTAAAACTGTAAATTAAGGGACCTCTTTGATCATTTGGTATAAATACTGGTCAAATCCAACAGATCTTTGCTGGCTCTTGGTAGGAGTCAGCCTGAGAAACCTCTTGTTCTTTGCATGCTTTGGGGTGGGATAGGACTTTGCTTGCATGTTTATTTTTCTGTGTATTTACTATCAATATTGAGGAGATAGAATTCTATTGTGTTGGCAAGCTGCCATAGCGTCTTGCTGGTCACCTTGCCAGGTAAATCTTTGAATGTTTTTCTTTTAATAAAGATAAGTTTTATTTTAAGAAGAGACCTTTGAGTGTCTCTGCCAGCACTTAGCGGTTTCCAAGCTTACACCTCTGCCTTTGCTAAGGAGGCAACACTCAGGGGACACATGAACCAAAAAGGGGAGTGTGGGGGGCACGGGTAAACACGCATTCACAGACACGTGCAGCCACACACACTTTTCTCACAACAGGGAGCAGAAGCTGTTTATTAAGACACTTTATTAATAAGAGAACGAACTGTGTAAGAAAGAGGAGAGAAAAAGAGAAGTCTAACTGTCTAACTAGCTAGACTAACTGGTCAGTAACAAACCGTTCTCAGCAGGAGCAGAAAAAAACCTAACTGAGCTAATCAGGAGACAGGAAGGAGAGTATTTGAAAATTCAGGGGGTTGCTTTGCAGTGGCTCTTCTCGTTCCTTCAGGGTCGGTGGCAAAGGGTGGCATTGGGGGAACAGCTGTCCCAAAGGCACCCGCTTGTCTGCGGAGTGCCACAAGCAGCAGTACTCTCCCCGACGTTATTTAACATCTACATGCGCCCCCTTGCCCAGATTGCTTGGAGAACCTGGGTTGGGTTGTCACCAGTATGCGGATGACACCCAGCTCTATCTGTTGTCGGACGGCCAGTCAGACTCTAGTTTCTGTAAGGGAAGATCTTGTCTCACTAACCTGTTAATGTTCTTTGAGGGGGTGAACAAACATTGTGGACAAGGGGGATCCAATAGATATTGTTTACCTTGACTTCCAGAAAGCTTTTAATAAAGTTCCTCATCAAAGGTTCCTAAGTAAGCTCAAAAATCATGGGATAAAAGGACAAGTCCTTTTATGGATCAAAAACTAGCTAATTAATAGAAAACAGAGAGTGAGTATAAATGGGCAATTTTCTCAGTGGAGGCTGGTAAGCAGTGGGGTACCGCAGGGATCAGTACTTGTTCCACTGCTTTTTAACTTGTTCATTAATGATTTGGAGTTGGGAGTAAGCAGTGAAGTGGCTAAATTTGCGGATGATACGAAGTTATTCAAGGTGGTGAAAACCAGGGAGGATTGTGAGGCACTCCAAAGGGATCTGTCAAGGATGGGCGAGTGGGCGTCAACATGGCAAATGGGTTCAGTGTGACCAAGTACAAGGTGATGCACATTGGAGCCAAAAATCCTAAATAATAAATACACATTGATGGGGTATGAACTGGCAGAGACTGATCAAGAGAGAGATTTTGGAGTTGTAGTAGATAACTCACTGAAAATGTCGAGACAGTGTGTGACTGCAATAAAGAAGGCCAATGCTATGCTGGAGATTATCAGGAAGGGGATTGAAAACAGATCAGCCAATATCATAATGCCCCTATATAAATCAATGGTGCGACCGCCTTTGGAATACTGTGTGCAGTTCTGGTCACCACACCTTAAAAAGGATATTATAGCTTTGGAAAAAGTGCAGAAAAGGGCAACTCGAATGATAAAAGGGTTGAAACACTTTCCCTATGAGGAAAGGATTAAGCGCTTAGGGCTCTTTAGCTTGGAGAAACGACGACTGAGGGGAGACATGACTGAGGTTTATAAGATTATGCATGGGAAAGAGCAGCTAGAGAAAGAGGTACTTTTCTCCCTTTCTCACAATACATGAACCCGTGGGCACTGAGTGGTCAGGTTAGAATGGATAAAAGGAAGTACTTCTTCACCCAAAGAGTGATTAGCACTTGGAATTCACTGCCACAGGAGGTGGTGGCGGCTACAAGCATGGACGGCTTCAAGAGGGAATTAGATAAGCATATGGAGCAGAGGTCCATCAGTGGCTATTAGCCACAAGGTATAGATAGGGACTCTGGGGCAAGGGATGCTCTGTCATCTTGGTGCTTGGGGGGGGTCAACAGTGGGAGTGCTTCTAATGTCCTGGCCCCACTGGTGGACCTCATGATGGCACCTGGTATTTCTGGCTACTGTGTGACACAGAGTTTTGGACTGGATGGGCCTTTGGCCTGCTCCAACATTGGCGTCTCTTATGTTCTTATGTTAGTCTAGGAGATCTGGACCTGGCATTCAAAGCTGTAAGAACTATATTTCTCTTTCTCCATATATGATTTTATTATTTTATAAGAATTGTAGTCATGTAACTTGTGCTGATCATAGACCGTATTAATAAATTGAACTTAGGCAGTTCTCAAAACTCTGAATTTGTGTCTGCAGAGATAACATGCGTCTTCTTCACAGCAAAAATGTTATAAAAGAAAAAGACCTTAATTCCATTGTTCCTCTGCAAATCTATGTACACAGAATCAAGCCCTTACCTCTTAAGTGCTAAGTTCCAAGAAGTTCGATAGAAGATTGTTTGGAGTGGAATAATCTACAGGAGGCGCTAAGTGTGAGGAGGTAGGGGCAAGCAGTAAAAATGAATGAGAACTCTTTGGAGCCGAATACTCCACAAGTCTCGGGATCTTTGTGTGTCTAGCCTGAGATTTATCATACTCAGGGCTTTTTTTGTAGAAAAAGCCCAGCAGGAACTCATTAGCATAATAGGCCATACCCAACAGCAGAAACTCAGTAGCATCTTGTACTTTTATAGTTAAATAATTTTAGAGCACCGGAAAGCATATTTTAGTAAATTGTATTGTTGTATTTTATATTATTCTGTACTGTTTTAATGTTTTAACTTGAGCATTTTTGCCCCTTGTGAGCCGCCCTGAGCCTTCGGGGAGGGCGGAGTATAAATTCAAAAATAAATAAATTAATTTAAAAATATTAGACCACAGCCCTGACAGCACAGCTCATTAGCATATTAGGCCGCACCCCCATGTTACCAGACGTGTGGTCATCCAGCCACACCCACCTTTTGCTTCTTATTCTGTTTACCTTGTTTGTTGTCAAAACCCAGGGCCTTTTTTGTAGCAGGAACTCCTTCGCATGTTAGGCCACACACCCCTTATGTAGCCAATCCTGATGAATTTCTGCTGTTGGGTGTGGCCTATTATGCTAATGAGTTCCTGCTGTGGGCGTGGCCAACTTGGGAGCCAACCAGAACTCCGTTCCTGTGCGTTCCTGCCCCAAAATAGCCCTGATCATACTATTCTCTCCCTGGAGGAGAAAACCTATAAGGGCAACAGGCTATAAAAGAGATCCAGTTTGGGAATATTTACAGTTAATAGCCAAATCAGTAATTTCTTTATTTAAACATAAAACTAATTTGAAAAGTTACGATTCTAAAACTGACACCTTCATCTGGTTGTAAATATTAAGATTATACGAGCAAGAATGAGCCTTTATGTAGAAAACCATGATTTATATCTAGTCTTACTGACCAGTGATTTAAATTGTTATTTAAATTGATTTGACTTAAATCAAATCCACCCTGTTTCCATGGCTGGTTAAAGTGGGGGCATCATCAGTGAACAAGGCTGTAGCTAGCAAACTGTGGGAACATTTGAAGGTCTTGATACATTATCCTGTCTAGTACCTTCTTCTGTTGACTTGGCTCCACATTGGGCTCTCAAGAAGACGAGGAGGAGGAGAATGGATTTATACCCCCTCCCTTCACTACCCGAAGGAGTCTCAGAGCGGCTGACAATCTCCTTTCCCTTCCCCTCCCCACAACAGAAACCCTATGAGGTAGGTGGGGCTGAGAGAGCTCTCTCGAGAACTGCTCTTGGGAGAAAAGCTCTAAAAGTACTTGTAACTGACCCAAGGTCACACCAGCAGCTGCATGAGGAGTGGGGAATCAAACCTGGTTCTCCCAGATTAGTGTCTGCACTCCTAACCACTACACCAAACTGGCTCTCTGATGCTAAACCAGTGCTAACACCCACTGGCTTAGTGGGACTGTATAGAAATATTGATTTCTAAAAGTCCCTGCCTTCCCCTGGGATGTCTTTCTGATACCATGCTGTGTTGTATTTCCTGTTGAAGCCACATGGCCTGCACATTTGGCCGGAGAAGCTTTATAGCCCTGCCATATAACCACACATTCCTTCACACTCCCATGCTGGAAGCTAGGCCAACATGTCAGAAGCTCACGTAGCCGATGGACGGGCTGGAGTTGGGGGCCATGTGACTGGAGACGTGGTTTCCAAACTCCCAGCCTATCCCTAGTTGTACCCATGACAACTAGGAAATGGGCACATCCCCTGTCTGTTCCTGATTGGCTGATGGCCACGGCTGGTCATTATTAGATTGGGGTTTAATTGTCTGATCCCTTGGAAGAGAGACTCTCTTGTCTCTTGCTCTCTGTTCCTGCTCTCTCTCTACTTGTTGAATTGCACCTGGAAATGCTATCCCAGGTGGAACAAAGAACTGCTTTGTGAGCTGAGCACATGCTTGCAAAGATGGGATTCCTGCTATTACAAATCCCTTGGTGTCTAACTGGATTATTTGGACTGATGCTATCCTGAATTGGTAAATATGAATTACTGTTTAGTTAAGGCAAACTGCCCTAGCCTTTCTTGTTTTGAAATCCTTCTGGTCTATGCTAAGTTCTGTACTGAATAAAATTATTCTGGTTTCTAACTTGTCTTGATGTTGTAACTGAGTTCTAAGCCTAAATCTTGCAGCCTGAACGCTGACCACACACACTACCATTGAGCATTAAGAGTGCATCTCTGAGGAGGTGCTAGTGTGTTCTGTCCCAGAGGCTAAACTAAAGGTTTGGAATCCCTCCCTTGGGGAAAAGCCGGGATTAGTTAAAAAGGGATTCTGGTGGCATATTGTTCTGAAATCCAGAGAGGGTAGTCTGCCTCTCTGGGTTGTTGTAAATGTATTGAAAAAGTATAGGCTTCCCCTCATTCCTGGACAGGCTTGGGGGCAGAAACCTATACAGGGACCATAGTACTGCCATGCTCCAAAAGTGAAACACACATCTGCCCAATAGCTATATGGATATGTAGAAACGAAGAAGGTCAGGTGCACAATATCCACACATCCTTGGATGTTGTGCTACAGTTGTATGCAGTCACTTCCAACTGGGTTGTCTGGTCCACACACTGATCACTGTTGTAGAGTAGTACTGCAACGGCCAATAATGTGTGAAAACCAGAGGTCATTTCGGGGGGGAACGCGGGGGAATGCAGTTCCCCTGGGTGAGGTGCAGGGGGCGGGGCACATGACAAAACCCCGCCCCCTGCTTCCGGCCACCCCGCTTCCAGCCCTGATTCAGCCAGGAGGAGGCAGGAGAAGAGGGAGGGTAAGTTGCTTCCTCCCCGCCTCTTCCCACCCCTGCCTGCCTGGGGCCAGGGAGGGCCTTGGCAGGGCTTCCTCGCACTCCCGCTGGCCTTGCAGGTCCACCACCGGGCTCCTGATGACAGGGGGCGTGGCATATGCTAATGAGTTATGCTAATGAGTTCCCCTAGCTCTTTTTCTACGAAATGACCCCTGGTGAAAACAATGAAGAAAAAATGTCTGTTTTATGTACCCTAATTCTGCTTAATAATGAGTAAACCTTATCTGTGACTTTGTGGGATCAACTATGGATATCTCAGTATAGTTTACAAACTCAAGAGTTAAAGCTACAAGCCAATGACAGTAAAGAACTACTCAGCATTTGTGCTTCCTTGCCTTTGGGATATTTAAACTATCCTAAATCTAAAACCTTATGTTCAGCAGTAAACAGACTGAACTATATTATATCCAAACCATACCTTGCAAAAGAGAAAAAAAAGTTCAGGGGCGCCAACACCTGCTTCTCTCCAAAACATGTAAACATTTCTAAGCACACTGCGCTAACATTGCTTTAGCATTTCCCCACCCCTTTAAACAGCAGCCAATTAAGCAGATCAAGAAACAACAACAGAAATGCATGAGGAATTTCAGACAGACGATATAATCCGGAAGAGGAACGGTTCCCAAATGGTTTCTGGTCTGTCATTTCTGACAGAACCGTTTTAGAACTGGTTCCCTACCAGAATATAGTTGTAATTTCAGACACAAACGCTACTGTCCCGTTTAGGAAACGGGGCTGAAGCGTTTTACCTGTCAACCGTTTCCAAGTAGTCTTCAGTTTCCTCTCCCAGTTCTGATGCACTTTTTCCCGCCGTTCTTCGCCCGCACGGGCAATCTCAGGCTTTTAAAAAAACATTCGCTTTATAGCGCTATAGCACTATAATGCTATAACGGAACAACAGTATAGCAACCCCATTGGAATGCCT